TGTATGCTTGTAATGTATTTATTATTATAATCGTTTAATTTTTCTTAATTTTGGCAAACATTATGGTCACTCCAGAGTCATTGGCAATAAAAAAACAATAAATCACGTGGCAGTAATTTTTTATGTTCGTACTAAAATTCACGTTACTGTACCGGAAAACACGCGAGTTTGTTATTATTATTATTCTGGCGCGTCACAACAACAGTAACACAATCTTAAAAATGATGTAATTGTTTACAGATAGATAATCTTTATTATCCATCTCCACCTTAATCTCTTTGCGCACTTCATTTCATCTTTGCTGCTGTAGTTACCATCCCACTTTACCACCGAGTAGCGCATCCACCATACACACACTCTCTCTCTGGATGAAATTGCATTAAAACAATTGTTGCGGGACAGCCTCCGGAAATGTCTGCATAATATCTCCTCAGTTTCCTTCGTACACATTATAAAAAAACTGATGATATTTTATTCATTCTGTTGCAAATAAATGAAAAAAAAAAACCAAGACAAAACTAAAATTATTCAATTTAGATACGGCACGTTCTACCGCGAAATGGAGCATTGAAGATCCATTTCACGGTGGCCACATATTTCAACTCACACACTACGTAGTATATAAAAACGGTATGTAAACTTGTGGGCTGGGCTATTATTGTTATTGTGTATTCGCTAAGTAGCTAATAAATACCATATGTTAAAAAAAAAAAAATAGAATACCGCTCAATCGACAGGGATTACGGTAAAAGTTTCAAAGTTGATTTACAAATATTAATATGTCTATTATTTATTATCATTATATTAATGTATATATTAATATATAATAATATTGCAGATTCCGTATGCGCTCTATCAGGAAGAGGGGTTTGTGTTCGTATTTATATTTGTAATTCAGACAAGTACTATATAGGTTCGCAAGTCATTACTGATTACGCTCTTTACTTTGCCAGCATAGATCGTACATTATAGTTGCCCAGAAACCAGGCATAAACTCAAAAACCAAATGTTACCATCAACGGCAGCAGTGTTGTTTCGATCGCCGGTAGAATCTCCTCTCCTACGGATAAAATAACCCGTTGTTAATTGGCTCATTTAAGCTGAATGTCAAACTTCCAGAGAAGTAAGTATTGAACGGAGAACAGAAATGGTGTTTTATATAATATCACTAATTTTGTTATCATTATAGTGTAAGTACTGATGTACCATGTATTGCGTCAATTACGATACAGCGCGCAAAGAATCCGCCGGCCCTCGCTACATTACGCGAGCGTTCATAGTGAGATGAAATAAAAGTGATTGATATAACATTAGTGGTTTCATATTGCCTCCGCTATTACTATGGTTTGGCAGAGACCGTTTGAATTTGATTGTTGATTCTTGATGTACAGTATAGTGCATCATAAATAAATAAAATAAATACAATATGTTAATAACAATAACAATAATAATAATGAAATAGACAATGTAAAACTAGTACTAGTATTAGTATTGAACAGTTATTGTAACTAATTTACCAAGCTTATAACAACCTCGTTACAATTAATTTTAGCGAGGTTGTGAGAACATTGCGGGAAAGCTTTTAACAAGATTAGTACAATATTTATCTAGATGTTGTATCAATGATGCTGGAAAGATTGATATAACCTTGTGGCTGTTGTTAAGCTTGTAACAACCTCGTTACAATTAATTTTAGCGAAGTTGTGAAAACGTGTGTACAATATATATTCAAGGTTTATACAAGGTTATGAGTTTCAGCTAAGCAAGCTTGTAACAGCCTTGTTACGATTAATTTTAGCGAGGTTGTGAGAACATTGTGAGAAAGCTTTTAACAAGATTAGTACAATATTTATCCAGATGTTGTATCAACAATGCCAACAAAATTAATACAACCTTGTGGCTATTGTTAAGCTTGTAACAACCTCGTTACAATTAATTTTAGCGAGGTTGTGGAAAAGCTTTTAACAAGATTAGTACAATATACATTCAAGGTTTATACAAGGTTATGAGAATTTAATGAGTTTCAGCTAAGTTGGATGTATTAACTGGAGATAAGTCTTGGGCCTGAAGCTTCTTTTCCCTATTTCTTTCTCTAATCTCATTACTAATCTGTTCATTATGTCTTTCGACCAGAAACTTATCTATTTTCTTATCTTCCAGTGATTTAGATTCTGTACAGACAGGTTGGTATATATCAGAATTTGGAACGTTATCAGATGCTGGAACATTCTCGTTTTGTGTGACAATCTGTTCATGAGTGCTGTTAGAATATGTTTCGGGGGGTGTTGAATATTGACTATCTCTTTCCTGGCATATACGTAGTCAGTCTCGATAAGTCGGCCAACGGTAGCCCACCTCAAATGGCAGACTTATCGAGAAGGCCGACTTATCGAAAACACGTGATCGAGGATATACGTTTAATTGTAGTTAGGAGGCTTCGCCTCCCTTTATATTAATGTTAGTGATAAATTGAGAGATAATTTTGTCAAGTAATGACGTG